TTTTTGTATGTATTTGTAATAGATATTATATAGCATACGCCTCCCCACCCAATCACTTTAACAATACATTGATCTTTGGAATAATAAAGTAGACAAATAATGACTTTATAAAACATTAAAGGACAAACAAATAGAACAATAAATGTTTCAAGTTGAAACTCGTAAAATCCTTGGATGTATATATTGAGACATTTAACACGTTAGAGTATCGATAAAGGTGTCTCCTCGTAGGTGTATTATCGATATATTTCAGGCTTGCAATGCTCATTCTGCTTGACCGTAATTATGGACCAAGTACAAGGTTAAACTTCCAAGCCAACTCACTACCAAGTTTAATGCCAAAACGCATTATTGTAATTGAAATCACAGAACAAAAGATAAATAGGCAACAAAGTGTAAACAAATTTTGACGTTACATCTGGGACCAAATCACCGCAGTCGAAATCGAGTACAAAACTTATTTTGAAACTCTCGTACGCTTCCAATTTCTTATTACCAATGTTAACAGCAATGTAGAAAAAAGTAGTAGACAAAAAAATACTGTCAAATTCGGTGATCTAAAAATTTACAGCGATCGATATGTTTCTCTATACGAAAAATTTGAAGGAACACCTTGTTATTGCGTTATGTCCGTAATGATACTATGAACGTGCTATCCGTTATTTCATGTGACGTGTCACCAATAAAGCAACAGCCACAAAGAGACAGCTTTATCCATACTGAACGTACCCTTGCGATTGTTGTTTTATCGATATCATAAAACAGAAAATAACGGATTGGGCGTTTATTGTGCTATGGCTATAGGGCTAAACATTTTACGCGTCAGTCATAGGGTAAGTGTACCAGTAGTCGGCACTTTTAGGATTTTCGGGTTTTTATTCGCTCACCATTCTGAGTGGAACATTTCAATTTTTACAAAGTTAATTTATACAGATTCGAAATTTTGAATAGTTTTTGCAATAATAAATAAAGTTTTAATAACTTTAAATTTCATAGATTTGTAGTTTTATTAAAACAATGCTCTTTTGCCAATAGTCGGCACCACTTGCCAATTGTCGGTATGGCATGTTCCAACAGTCGGCGTACCAATTTTTTTGTAAGAATAATTAATAATAATAATAAATTACTTCATTAAAATATAATATTTTTGTTTAGGTAAACTGATTCGACGTCTTTATTGTACTTTTCTTAAGAATATGAATTGTTGAGGGCCTTCACAGACAAAAATTTAATTTTTATTAGAATAAATCATCATTTCTTAGCGAAATTATGCACAAAGATAGCTGGCAATATATTTGAAGTAAACAAAATACATTTAGTTATAATAGTTTAATTTATTTGGGCTTAAAAATAAAAAGTGCCGACTACTGGGACATGCCGAATTTAGGCACACTTACCCTACTACGCAAGATTTAAGTTAATTATTCTAATTATTTGCATGTAATCGAAGTATTTTAATATGTTGTATTTTATTATTTAATGTGTATAGCGCCCTGATAATAAAACTCAGAGTTTCGAAGTATTGGAATAAAAAATTAATAATTAAAACCTAATAAAAGGTGCAACGCAACGCAATTTTTAAATTTTAAATAAAACTCAGATACTATAAATACTTTGTGAAACTTTGTTATACATGAGTAACTTGAAATTTGAGTTCTGAGGTGATAGAATCTCTTCCTATTAAATTTTGTGGAGATAGGTCCACTATTATGTGTTGACCATATATAAGAACACTTCCAAATTTTAGGTACATATATTGAAATCTATCTCTGCAAAATTGTTGAAGATCAGTCCAGTTTTATATGTAGGCCATATACTAACGGTACTTCCTAATTTCAGATATTTTGAAATAGCGTCTTTTTATAAACTTATTATTTTGTCATTCGTTTCTCAGAGGATAAAAACTTCACAAACTGCAAATACAGGACCACTATCAAAGACCTAAAATGGTAAAGACTGGACAAAATGCATTATGGAAAAATAGTTAATGTGAAATATATATAGAAGCGCTGCTCACAACAGTGACATGTTATCATAAAAATCATATTTACAGTGCAATTTTACGAATAAAATTTTTTGTACATTCTATTGACGTTTTCGACTAATTGAAAATTGAATTTGCTGTTAAAACAATTTAACATTGGTGATTATGTTTTTATTATATCGTAATAACAGAGGTATTTCCACCTGGTGACAATATTTTGACTCTGCCTTGTCTCACCTTTATACTTCTATGTCTTTGCCACCATTTAACGTAGGTCTCTGTACAGCCCAGTGGTGTTAGATTCCAAAAAAATAGGCAGGCCAAATTGTAAGAGGAACTATATCGGTCCGCGATATCATATAGCCCCCATATAACGGTATCCCCCGATATTCGGTATTTTGATGATTTTAGTTATATTTTTGAATGGATTGATCTGAAAGTCTACACAAGAAGTTTTTTTCTGAGTACTTTACCATCTGGAAGAGAATTATCTATATATACACAACGATATTCGATATTTGGATGATATTAGCGACATTTTTTACCGGCATTGTTTTAAAATTCGTATGGTCGTATTGTTGAAATTTTTCAAGTTTCTTCCAACTGGTTATTTTTCTACTTGTTTTTGTCTAGCATTGAAAAAATTAGTGTGGAGGTTTCACAAGACGGCGCGCAGAGGGGTGGAATCACAAAAAAACGGAAATTAATTAAAATATTTAAAATTTGTCTTGTGGTATAATTGTTTAAAGATCTTCAAATACAGCATAGGCAGTAGTACCCCTTACAAAATTCGAATATGAAATTTGCAACAATTCGGGCAAATGATGTCGATCATCGCTAAATCGTCTTAGAATTTTACGCTGATCAAGAATATTTATACTTTCTAGAATCTATCACGAATATTTCGAGGAGTTACCTACAGAATGTCAAAACTAATATAACCTCCATAGAATAATGGAGGGTATAAAAACTAATTATCATTGCTCGATGCCAAACACTTGACCTACCTCATTTTCTTAAAAACAAGTAAAAAAACACACAAATACCAATTTTTAGAAAAATCCGCGAAGAAATATGGCAAAAATCATCAAAATATCGAATATGGGGACTATACCAAAATGTGGACGGATATATCTCATTTTCAATACCAACCATCCTAGATACAATATAAATTGTTCTTCTAAATTTTGACGCTCTACGTCAAATAATGTGGGCTGTATCGTGATTTCAACAGACAGACGGACATCGTTAAATCGACTTCGAATTTTATGATTATGAATATATACTTTATGGGGTCTACTACGAATATTTCCATCTTTCCAAGGTGGAGGGTATAAAAAGGTCCAATGATTCCTCCAGACCGAAAACCACACCACAAAGCGACGCATTAAGGATGCATTTGCTTCTCGAGGATTTTCCTTACCCTTTTGACAAGTCATCAAGATGGAAATGGACCTCGTCACTGAAGATGATTTCATCAGCATACTCATCATCGTCAATACCCAATTAACGAAAACAAAACAAAAATAATTTCACAATGAAAATGAGTCGTTCACAATTTTTATTAATCTCGTACCTTCTACTAGCAAAGAATAACAATTGTTCAAATGTGGAAAAATGACACGAAATATAAAAATTGCCTTATATTTGGGACTCTCTTTAGTTCCAATGCAGGGACACAATTACCAATGCGCTATCAGTACTTCTATTGACAATCTCAACATCGACATACGTAGACGTGTAAGGTTACTGATCGAAATATAGCTGAACAGTCATTTCTCTATTGGCAATATGGTATGTCTTATTTTAGTAACTGTCCTTAAAAATAGATCATAAATTTTAACTCTTCATCTTATTTAAAAAAAAAAAAAGATTGCGAATCTTATTGTTCGTATTATAGTAAAATATTAAGAAATAATATCATATAAATTCTTTTCTTTTGCATCTGTCAAGAGCAAAGAAATGCGGTCTTATGGTAGCCTTAAATGCAATGCATTCTTATGACCTTCTATCTGTAAGGACTTCTTGTGTGTGAAAAAATAATATAGAGCGATAAGTTGCCTTCGAAAGTCAAGTAAGATTTGTGAACATTGAATATAAGATAATTGAAAGTAATCGCGTCTGTGTATCGTCGTACAGTTACATAGGCAACGTTCTGTCGGACAGCTAAAAAACAATGCAAGTCTAATGAATTTTTTCGGTTTATTGAAATATTTTTTATGACATTGAATGCAAATACGTATATATAATAATTTCATCCTGAAAAAAAAGAAACTAGGGATAATCCAAAGATCAATGTATTCTACGTAGATCGTATAAATTGAATCCCCGTGTATACACTAACATTGAGATTGTTTGATATACTCCCAAAATCGAGAGTTATATTTCGTTCTATACTTCTTCTTTTTTAACTCTTTCTCTCTACCTCTCTTGACTCTCACTCTCTGTTTTTGAAACATTTTCTTCTCTTAACACATTTTTTCTTCTCAAATTCTTTTCAACATTTTTCTTATAATTTCTCTTTATGCACTACTCTCTGACTAAACTTACCACCTCAACTAATACCACTACCACAAAACATTTTTACATTTTCCCACCATTAAAAATAAAACTATGTAAAAAAAACATGTAATTTAGATAAGGAAATGACAAGGAAATTACATTGGCCTACGTATGCTTTAAATTAAATGATCTAATTGCGAGATCTGTCCTTGTCTTTTTCCTGATCTAACTGATTCACAATCACTCTCAAATTATCGTTTTCTAATTAAAAAAATACAAAAAACAAGATTTCATAAAATATACTTTTAAGTTTAATGTTGATTCATTGTTGCGAAATTTGCTTTTTTAAACAATTCCTAGACGTTTCATAGTTCATAGATTGTTTGTTATTTTTGTCTACCCCATTTGTTGTGAATTTGAAAAACAAAATTTGCAAAAAAACTCAACTGTTTTTTTAACAAATGTAATAATTAAAAATTTGAATTTCTTCCCCCACCCTCCACTTACCAAACAGTCGGATGCTGAGAGGGCACGTGAAGAGGCTGCCGCTTTGCAGGAGAAACTCGAAAAGAGCCAGGGCGAAGTGTATAGACTGAAGGCCAAACTTGAAAATGCCCAAGGTGAACAGGAAAGTTTGCGACAGGAACTAGAAAAGGTCCAAGGCAGCATTTCACGCATACATGCCGATCGCGATAGAGTAAGTAGCACACAAACAACGTAAATATGAACAAAATAATAATAATTTTTCTCTTTAGGCCTTCTCCGAAGTGGACAAGATGAAGGAAGAAATGGAACGCACCCAGGCCACATTGGGCAAAGCACAATTACAACAGGAGAAATTGCAAAATGCATTGGACAAGGCACAAAACGAAGTCGATCATTTGCAAGAGAAACTGGACAAATCCAATGCCGAAGTTCGTCGTCTCACATTGGAGAAGGAGAAATATACCTACGACTATGACAGTCTACAATCACAATTGGACAAGGCATTGGGTCAGGCAGCCCGCATGCAGAAAGAACGTGAAACTCTTACATTGGACACAGATCGAATACGTGAAAAACTTGAAAAGACACAGGTAAGAGCTGCACAAGTTTTCACAATTATTTGTAACCTCCAGGCATTGGCGTAGCTTTGATTTAGGAATGTTAAAATACTTTTGAAATAATGATTACTTAAGAACAGATATACATATAATAGTATAAAACCGTCACATTGGGCGCCAATCTATATATATTTAAATTCAAGGATGCTTGAAATATGATAACGATTAAATTTTCTATGCAAAATGTTGATATTGATAACATAACAATGAAAAATGTTATTATATGGTCTGTTCCAGAACCTGCAAGAATCTATTATTTTCGCAATTTTCTTCGATATCACAGTAAAAACTTTTATATTCTTGCAGTTCTGGAACAGTTCAATAGACAGCATGTTCTGTAGCAATAGTTATTATCGATAACAATTTCTAAAGAAAATAGCTTTATAAAAAGAAAATCATACTTTCGAGATCATGGTCTATAGAAAATAGTGTTATCTTTAACATTTCGTATAGAAACCGTTCTTATCGATAACATTTTCGACATAAAATTTAATTATCGATCGTATTATTCAATATAAAAAAGTTTTTATCGAAACTCCCATTAATCCTCTCCGTTTAGCTCTATTGCTTATCGCAACTTTAGACAAAATCTTGTTGCCATTGTAAATGTGCGTGTGTAAAAATTGTGAAAGCTTTAAATATGTAAAAGCTTTATCTGTTTTTCGGAGGTATGCTAATCACAAATGCCCCCCCCCCCTTGATCCTTGACGTACCAAAACTACTCTGGTTTGTCGCGACAGTTCTTGTTCTTTCAATGATCTATGTGAATGGTATTCCTCCATATATTTTGTTACTGCGTTAGTGTAAGTACTAATAAGTCCTGTTTGAATGGTATGCTGATCTGGAGGCTCTGTCTTTTACCTCTATACCACTCTGACTAGATCATGAAGGTCTCTACTTCCATTGTATTCATTCAATAACTTTCACAAGACTATATAGTCTACAGGGTAAGATAAAAAAACTGCAAAAAAGTCAAACGCCATAATTTTTATTTTTTTTTTTCTAAATTTTATTGAATGAAAGCAAAAACTTTCGGAAATAGCATCAAATTTTAGAATAAGTTTAGATTTGTTGGAATTTGGTCACCTTTGGTACGAATTATGGCCTTCAAACGGTCAATGAAACCGTCACACGCTGCCCGAATGTTGCTCTTCGGTATTTTGGCCCATTCCCGGCGAAGCGCTTTCTTGACGTGAACGACACGTTGGTATTTTTTAGTGCCAACTTTGCTTTCCAAAATACTCCAGACACAATAGTCCATCGGATTGGTATCCGGAGATTTTGGTGGCCATTGTGTGCTGGAAATGAAGCAAGGAACCTCATTTTGTAAGCATTCTTGGGTGGTGCGTGCTTAGTGCAACGGTGCTGAGTCCTGTTGGAATGTCCAAGGTCTGCGGCCAAAATATTTGCTTACCCAAGGCTATAATACACCCTTCAGAATATTTTCGCGATAATATTCGGCATTTTTTCTGATGCCACGGTCGATTAATACGAGCGGAAAGTAACCATCGGCTGTTATGGCGGGCCACACCATCACCATGGCCGGCGCTTGAGTACTGGTGGCCAACCGAAGGTGCACATTTTCAGCTGACCTCTTTGGCAAGTAAACACGATAATTTTGTTTGTTTACAAACTGCTGGACAACGACAACGAATGTTCAGTTCCCCACTTTCGGCCAAGCAAAGCAACTCTTTTGAGTCTATTTTCCTTCTGTTGCAGTGTAAGTTCTTGCTCTTTTTGAAATTTCAATGGCTTTCACCCGAGCTCATTTTTCAATATTTGCCGAATGTAATATTGCGATATGTTCAGCTCAAGAGCCATTGCGACGCGGGTTTCGATCATGTCGCTTCTTTACTTTTCGAACCATTTCTGCAGATGTTGGTGTTTTCTTCCGTCCACTTCCTTGACGTCGGGCTACGCTACGAGACACAAAAGATTTATTCACATTTAAATGCTGGAGTGCTCTAACGATAGCCATTTGTAATTTTCCCGCCAAATATAAAAAAAATCACACTATCACGCTTGGATTCCATCACGAATAACTTTTTTCCCGAACATTTTCACCAAAACGCTTTTGTACGCATGTAAACAATATAATGAGCTGACACTGGAATAATTTTAACAGCAGTCGGACGAATGGCTTAGAAATGACAGCAGTCTGAAGTTGGCTGCAGTTTTTTCATCTCACCCTGTATAGTCTATTTAGCACACATTTCTTTACGTTGCCTACAGTATTATCTCTTTACTGTCGACGTTTACTAGTCGCTATTCAATACTAAACTGACTGCTTGTCCCTACCCCGCAAGCAAAAAATATCCCATAAATCACTTAGAAGTCACACCTAAGCTTCAGAAATCATCGCGGTTGATATCGCTTTCCCACCACGGAAGTTGCATCTTTAGGGAAGAAATGAGTCACGCCCGCGGTAGTTTAGGCGTGACTAAATATCGTGTACAATTTTACTTCTAATAATCGTGGAATTCACTTCCTCGACAGTTATTGGAAGTTTTTCCACGGACTTGTCCAAAACTTTGTATTTTTAGTTCGTAATGTGTTTTAGCTCCTGTGGCGGAACATAGAACATAGGTCCACGTTTTCCTATAGCCCCCCACATAATGGTATCTCCGGATATTCGCCCCCACATAATGGTATCACATTTTTCCACGCATTTGTCTAAAAATTGGTATTTGTAGGTTATAATGGGTTCTAGCTCCGGTGGTAGAACATTGAACATTTAGGTCCACGTTTTCCTATCGCAATACCCACCGATATTCGGTATTTTGATAATCCTAGTTATATTTACCCTTGAAGTTGTTTCAAATTTGGGGTTTAAGAGAATTTGGTAAATGACAATACTTGAAGTATAAAATTGCCTATAGAGGTTCTCGTTTTGGTATGGCCCCCATAAACGGCCTCGCCCACTTTACGGTTTTTTTTTAAAAAGTTTAACAGCATTATCCAAACGGTCGTACTGCGATTTGAAGTTTAAAGTGGAACACGTTTGAATTCAGATACTTTTATATATGTAATGTTTTTTTATGCCATGGTGAGTGTATTAAAAGTTCGGCCCGACCGAACATAATGTTTTTTTTTTTTTTTTAATTATTTAAAAAAAAAATATCCAATAAATAGCAAAAACCAAACTATTATTTTAAAATCCATAAGCTACGCCAATGTCAAGCCTGCATCATCTACCATGTATGAATGTAATAATTATTTGTATGCAATTCTAACAAAACGAAACTAAAACTATCTATAGTATATGTGTAACCCTGTGTGTGTGTGTGTGAGTGTGTTTGTCTGTGTAAAACTCTTTTGTAAAAAACGGAAATAACTTCCCTATCGCATAATACTAGTACTCAAACATACTATAAATCTATTACTATCTCTATCTCTCTCCCCCTTTCTATTTCTGTCTATTAATAATTTATTTGATGTAACTCTGTAACGACTTGTGTACATAACCCTGTTGTTTGAAATAACAAAAACCAAAAACAAAAACAAAAAACCTTAACAAACTATTACTAAAACCCACAAATCGAACACCACATAAATGTAGATGCAACTTGCCCGTGTCCAAAAGGAGCGTGATCAATTCTCCGATGAATTGGAAACACTCAAAGAACGCTCCGAATCGTCACAGACCCTGCTACAAAAGGCAGCCCGCGATCGAGAGGCAATGCAAACCGATTTGGAAGTACTGAAAGAACGCTACGAAAAATCCCATGTCATACAGCAGAAATTACAGGTAATTTACACAATCTCCCCGAATTTCCCCCCATCTCCAAAAGACAACAAACCAAAAAAAGAGAATTTCAAAATTTTCCCTTAACCTGAACCTCAACTTATTATGGCAACAAACAGGACCTTAAATAAGCAGAAAAAAACAATGCATGCTTATGTTCGGAAACTTAACGTTAACCAATTTAATTACATAAATATATAATATAATCTAACCTAACCTAATCAAACCTAACCTTACCTAACCTCACCATACCTCAACAAAAACAACAAAAAACCAAAACGATTGGCTGTTTGTTAGTTGTAGCTTTTGCCTCTGCAAGAGTATCGGAATTGTTGTCTTGCTTTTCTCATAGAAATTCCGCCATTATCCTTTTCAGATGGAACGTGACGATGCCGTGACCGAGGTGGAAATTCTCAAAGAGAAACTAGACAAGGCCCTGTACGCCAGCCAGAAACTTATCGATGAGAAGGATACCTCGAACAAAGAGTTCGAGAAGATGTTGGAGAAATATGATCGTGCTCAAAATGAAATCTATCGCTTACAGTCACGCTGTGACACGGCCGAAGCGGATCGTGCCCGACTTGAGGTTGAGGCCGAACGCTCTTCACTGGCCGCCTCGAAAGCCCGTGAAGATTTGCGTAAGCTACAAGACGAAAGCACCCGATTGCAAGAGGCCTGTGATAGGGCCGCCCTGCAACTTAGCAGAGCCAAGGAGGCCGAGGACAATGCACGTGCCGAACTCGAACACCACCGAGAACGCTATGACAAAATACAAACCGATCTACGCCGTACCCAAGGCGAAAAGGAACATCTGCAATCCGAACTGGAGAGAGTATCGTATGAGCTGGAGAGAGCCCATGCCGCTCAGAGCAAGGCCAGTGCCAGTGTGGAAGCAGCCAAGGAGGAAGCTGCCCACTACGCTGTGGAAATGGAGAAAATGCGCGATCGTTATGAAAAGAGCCAGGCCGAACTTCGAAAACTGCAAGACACCGAAACGTTTGGCCGTGAAACCCGACGCCTCAAAGAGGAGAACGAACGTTTGCGTGAAAAACTCGACAAAACTCTCATGGAACTGGAAACTATTCGCGGCAAGTCCCAATACGAATCAGAATCCTTCGAGAAGTACCGCGACAAGTATGAGAAGCTTGAAAACGAGATCCAGAACATGGAGTCCAAACTGCACGAGACATCACTGCAACTGGAACTCTCCAAGGGAGAAGTGGCCAAACTGTTGGCCAGCCAGGAAAAACAACGCACCGAGCTGGAGAGAGCTCACATCGAGCGCGAAAAGGCCCGAGACAAGCACGAGAAACTTCTGAAGGAGGTAGAACGTTTGAGATTACAACAATCTTCAGCCATCAGCCCGGCTGAGTCAGTGCGAGCTTCGGTAACAGCAGGAGAGCGTACAGAGATAGATAGGTTAAGGGATAGGTTAGAGAAGGCTTTACAATCTCGTGATGCTACCGAATTGGAAGCCGGAAGACTGGCTAAAGAATTGGAGAAAGCTCAAATGCATTTGGCTAAACAACAGGAAGCTAATGAATCTACACGCATTGAATTTGAACGAATGTCTGCTGAATTGGGTCGTCTACACGATCGCCTCGAGAAAGCGGAGGCCGAGAAGGAGGCTCTGAGACAAACGGCGCGCACCGGCGTAGCGGACAAACCACATCCACAGCTCGAGAAGCACATGGCCCAGTTGGAGGCCGACTGCAAACAGTTGACAATCGAACGGGAACAATTGGTCCACCAGCTGGAGAAGAGTCAAGAGATCCTGATGAACTTCCAGAAGGAGTTGCAAAACGCCGAAACCGAATTGCAAAAGGCCCGCGAAGAGAATCGCAAGTTGCGCAACGGCCATGCGACAACACCGGCTGCGGTGGCAGCAGCCGCACCCACACCGGCCGGACCCTCACCCGCCCAGTTGGCCGAACTGGCGGCCATGCAGAAGGAAATCCAAACGCTGCAACAAAAACTCCAAGAATCGGAAAAAGCTTTACAGGCTGCTGGTACAGCAACCCAGGGTGGTGCCTCGCGCGAAGAAGTCGAACAATACCGCAAGGTTATCGAGGCCGAAAAGGCCAAGGCCGATATGGCCGATAAGGCAGCGCAGGAGATGCATAAACGCATCCAGATGATGGATCAGCATATTAAGGAACAACATGCTCAAATGCAGAAGATGCAACAGCAGCTGATACAAGCACAACAACAATTGCAACAGGCACAGCAGCAAGCCCAACAGGCAGCACAGCAACAGCAACAACAACCAGCACCTGCCAACAATGAAGAAATCAACAAAGAACTGGAGAAAATTAAGGCTGAGTTGCAGGCGGCGACTACACAACGGGATCAATTCCAACAGCAATTGGAACTGTTGGTCGAGGAGCTGCAAAAGAGTCAGGTAAGTGAGGGTTGCAATTAAGAGAATTCTTCACTATAAAATAGGGTTGATGTCAAATGTGGTTAAGAACACAGGTGTTCTCCTTTAGATTCCCGATGACTTTAAACTCTTGCTTCCAACAAAACAAAAAATATCTTTTCGTCCTAGCAATTTTGTGGATTTTAGGTTAAAACGCAAACCAAATTTGGTTTATATATAGTATTGAAATAACGGTTTAGTCCCTAGGTCACTTTGGACCGAATTTGTTTTAGACCATTTGGAGTCAATCTAGCTTTGTGCGTCCGTCCGTCCGTCTGTCTGGATGGTGCGCACGATAACTCTGGAAGGGAGTATCCGATTTGGTACAAACTTGCTGCATCGTAATATTATTATCAAACTTAGATCGAGATGAACAAAATCGGTCTACTCTTTCTGGTACCTCTCCCACAAAAGGTCGAAATTTAAAAAAAAAAAAAAAAAAAACATTTTACTACACAGGAAGAGAAAAGATAATCCGATTTTGCTCCAACTTTGGAAATGCTAATATTTGCATCAATGCTAAGTTCGGTGCAAAAATGGACAATGCCGGTCCATTCTATCAAGTACCTCCCTAACAAAGGGTCAAAATTTTGAATAATTAAAACTCTTATAAAATGTGATGTAAGAGTCCGATTGTCTTCAAATAAAACACATAACAATATTTTTATTAATCCAAGGTCTAGCGTCAAGATGGAATATATCGGTCCACCCCTTCTGGTCCCTCCCCCACAAAGGGTCAAAATTTTGAATAACCAAAACGATCATAAAATCCGAAATAAGCATCCGGTTCACTTCCCATTATTTCTACTAACACAAGATCTGCTGTGAAGATGGAATATATCGCTCTATTTCCTCTGGTACCTCCCCCACAAAGGGTCCAAATTGTGAATAGTCATGAAGCTCATAAAACGCAAAATTAACATCCGATTCCATTCGGACTTGTCATATCTCAATATTTCTATCCGCAGAAGATCTGTTATAAAGATGGTAGAAATCGAACCATTCCTTCTGGTACCTCCCCCATATAGGGTTCTAAATAAGCATCCAACCATAGACTATGACAGATATCGGTATTTTTCAGATTTTAACAGAATTTTTAACGGATTTTATTTTTTTTGAAAGTTTTAAATTCGTTCCAAATGGAGGAAGGTATTCAATGTTCGGCCCAGTCGAACTTACTGTTTTTTACTTGTTCTTTAATCGGTTTTTATCGGTAACGCAGAAATCCCCCTACTGGAGGAGCGTCGTAATAAGCCGTCAAATAACACATGTGAATATTATAAAATATTTATCTCAACTTCTCCCAACTTCAGCTGGCCAATCAGGAACAAGGGAAACAATTACAAGCTGCCCAACAGCAAATACAGCAACTACAACAACAATTACAACAAGCCGCTCAAGCTGGTGGTGCCACGGCGGCAGCTACCGAGGCACAGCGACAGCAATTGGAACAACAACAGAAACAACTGGAAGAAGTTCGTAAGCAAATCGATAATCAAGCCAAGGCCGTCGAAAGTGAACGTAAAATCATTGAGGAACAACGCAAACAGATCGAAGCCAAACGCAAAGACATCGAAGAGAAGGAAAAGAAAATGGTCGAATTCGATGTACAGCTGCGTAAGCGAAAAGAACAAATGGATCAGCTGGAGAAACAGATCCAGGCTCAAGGTGGTGGCGCCGCAGCAGCGGGAGAACTCAACAAAAAACTCATGGACACTCAGAGGCAATTGGAAGCGTAAGTTCAACCAACACTCCTTAAGAGTAGTTATCTCAGTATAATGAATTCTTCCTTTTTGTTTTGCAGTTGCATCAAGGAATTGCAAACAACCAAGGAAGAACACCAAAAGGCCGCAACGGAAACGGAACGATTACTCAAATTGGTACAAATGTCACAGGAGGAACAGAATGCAAAGGAGAAGACAATTATGGACTTGCAACAGTAAGTGTTGAGCATTTTGATTACTTTTGTTTAGGTGGCTCAGAAACTCATAACAATTTGTTTGTGTATTTTTCTTTCCTTGCAGAGCCTTAAAGATTGCCCAAGCAAAAGTCAAACAAGCACAAACACAGCAACAACAAGATGTAAGTAGTATAATAAATTATTACGATTCTTTGTTGATAGTTCTTAGCTAATATCAGAAAGGCCATGAAAATGCAACCCTGCGTGACTTCACTGAGCGCAATTTTCTCCACACACTCAATCTGAACTATTGGCCAACAATGTAATCTGAGAGCAACAAAATTGAGAGAACCTAAAAGTGTAACTCTTTAGCCGGCCCTGTATTAAAAGGGAGTATTTAAGTGAATGCGAAAAATATTGCGCATTCGCACGGGTGTATGCCGTATTTATTAATAGAGAAAAAAATTACAATGTTTACCACCGGGAGAAGCAAAAGGCAATTTTTCTTAAATCTATATTAATAAAAGAGTAAATTAATTGACTGACTGACTGATTCATCAACGCCCAGACGAAACGACTAAAGCTAGAATCATTTTACAACAACAAAAGAAGCTAGAATCTTGAAATTTTGGTTGAGGGTCACTCTTGGGCCGAAGGGGTCAGATAAGGCTGGGTTTTTGGAAATTCGTACTAGAATGGAGCGAAAAGTACTAAATGTGATGCCCTTTCTATTTGACGAACCAGTAGAGCTAGAACTCTTTAATTTGAAAAAAAGGGTCGCTAATGGAGTGAGTGATTGATGTACCAAAAGGATTTGGAAATTCGCACTATAAATGTACGAAAAGTACTAAGTACTTTTGGTACCATTTCGTATTATGTGAATTGTTAGAGCTAAAAGCTATAAATTTGGAATGAAATTCAAGGTTAAAGAGTAGGTTTGATATAATTAATATGAAAAGCTCTAAACGGTACTAAATTTGATACACTTTGAATTTGGAGGAACGGATGGAGCTGGAGTCCTTAATTTGAAATTAAAATTACTGGCGGAGTGTAGGATTTGGGTATGCACGTAATTTTCATAATTTGTACTTATGTGTAGGAACGGTACTAAATGGTACTAACTAGTGAAATGTTAGAGTTAAAAGTTTGAAATTTGGAATGAAACTCAAGGTTGAGGAGAAGGTTTGATATGATTAATATGAAAAACTCTAAACGGTACTCAATTTGATACACTTTGAATTTGGAGGAACGGATGGAGCTGGAGTCCTTAATTTGAAATTAAAATTACTGGCGGAGTGTAGGGTATGCACGTAATTTTCATAATTTGTACTTGTGTGTAGGAACGGTACTAAATGGTACTAACTAGGGGTATGTAGGTAGTTTTGAAAATTTGTACTTATGTGTACGAAATGGTATCAAACTTGCCACAATTTAAATTTTGGGAGAACCGGTAAAGTCGGAATTCTTAAGTTTGGAACTAAGATTACTAACTGAGATTTCATTGTAGGGCTGAGGTATGTAGGTGGTATTGAAAATTCATACTCATGTGTACTAAATGGTATAAAATTTGATACAGTTTAAATTTTGGGAGAACCAATAGAGTTGGAATCCTAAAATTTGGAACTAAGATTATTATTGCATGAACCGGTAGAGTTGGAAGCCTGAAATTTGAAAATAAGATTTCTATGAGATTGTATGATTTAAGTAGTTTTGTAAATTCGTACTTATGTGACTATATGGTACTAAATTTGGTACAATTTGGATTTAGGTGACCCGATAGAGCTGGAATCCCGAAATTTGGAATTAAGATTACTTTTGGAGTTTAGAATTGGATTATACAGGGAGTTTTGGAAATTCGTACTTATCTGTACTATATTTCGTACAATTTGTATATAGACGAAACGAAAAGAATAGAATTGTGGATTATTGTAAAGTGTAGTTTTGGGGAATGTAGGAAGCTTTGAAAATTAGTGCTTATATGTACTAATTTTGGTACAATTTGGCATTGTGTGAACCGATAGGGCTGGAATCCCGGAATTTGGAATAAAGATAAATGTTTATGGGATTAGGTTATGTAGAAACCTTAGCGACTAAATTTCGTATAAATTGGATTTAGGTGAACCTTTCTAGAGATTATCGCAAAATATTAAGGGGTTGAAAAGTACCAAAAACTAAAAAAAAAACATATATACTGAACCGATTTTCACAAAAATTGTAAATACTTGCTTCTGGGCTGAATTCCGTCGGAAGTGCCAAAAATCAGTTCAACTAGACTGATATTAGCCATTTGGTACACAATAAACCTGAAATCGTATAAAGATATATATGGGAGCTATATCCAAATCTGACCTTGACAAAAATTTAGGCTCTTACTTCTGACCTGTATATGATGTCCGGTTTCAAATATTACTGTCTTGGAGTGCGTATTACACATGTGAGGGACTTAAAACCCCAAATCGTATAAAACATATATACGAGAGATGTAGCAAAATATTAACCGATTTTTACCAAATTTGATGTACTTGCTTCTATATTGATTTCGGTTGGATGTGCCATTGGTGCACAATTAACCCGAAATCGATTGAAGATATATATGGGAGCCATATCTAAATTTTTACCGATAAAAAGACTTTGTCCTTGGGTGAAATAAATAATTTGTGCAAAATATCATATCGATCGGGCAATAAATTCGACCTGTATTTTGTTTACAAAAATACATGGACCGACGGACAGACGGACGGACATGCATAAATCGACCCAGATTATGATTCTATGCAGATTATCAAAAGGAAGTATGGGTATATCTCGCTTCATTCTCCATGTTACAAACAAATGCACACAATACCCTTACCACTGCAGGGTATAAAGACATCAACTTCTAAATGTCTGTAATTTATTATATCTCTATGGTTCTCTGAAGAACCACAAAGTCCAAAATTGTGAATATTCAGAGAATCAAAACCCATTTTTACGGTTTTGGCAATATCATTTTCAAAAAGTAATTTACATTTTTTTATTTTGCGTTTTTTAATTATTTAATTTTGCGTTTACAATACATATTTTTTGTTTATTTTATTCATTTATTTTTCTTTTTTTTTTTTTTTGATATTTGAAAAAGTTGGAAGGTAATATATTTTTTTTCAGAATTGTCTCATTGTTTTGTTTTTAATACTTTTCAAGATTAAATTTAAATTTTTAATTATTGGAGGGTATATACTATGGAGGGTATATTAATTTTGTCATTCCGTTTGTAACTCCTCGAAATATTCATGTCAGACCCAACAAAGTATATATATTCTTGATCAGCGTAAAATTCTAAGATGATTTAGCCATGTCCGTCTGTCTGTCTGTGTGTCTGTCTGTCTGTCTGTCTGTCCGTCTGTCTGTTGTAATCACGCTATCTTTCGAACAAATTGAGATAGAAGGCTAAAATTTTGCACACATGTATTTTTTCCCAGTAGGCAGGTTAAGTTCGTAAATGGGCCATGAAGGTCCAAGTTATCATATAGCCCCCATATAACGGTACCTCCCGATATTCGGTATTTTGATGATTTTAGCGACATTATTCACCGGAATTATTTCAAATTTGGCATTTGAAGTTTGTAATGGATGCTACAGCCTAAGACAGAAAATTATCTGTGCAGGTCCACGTCTTCCTGTAGCCCCCATATAACGGTACCCCCCGATATTCGGTTTTTTGATGATTTTAGCGACATTGTTTACCGGAATCGTTTCAAATTTGGTATTTGAAGTTCGTAATGGATACTACATCCTAAATCAAAAAATGAGCCATGTAGGTCCCCGTCTTTATATAGCCCCCATATAACGGTACCCCCCCGATATTCGGTATTTTAAAGATTTTAGCGACGTTATTTACAGGGATTGTTTCAAATTTCGTATGTGAAGTTCGTAATGGATACTTCAGCCCATGCCAGAAAATTGTCTGTGCAGGTCCACGTATAGCCCCCATATAACGGTACCCCCCATATTCGGTATTTTGACGATTTTAGCTACATTATAAACAGATTTTTCTTCAAGTTTCGCATTTAAATATTTAATAATTTATGACAAAAGTTGCCTATGCAGGCCCACGTCGTCGTATAAGCATTCGGTATTTTTAAGATTTTAACAGAATTTTTAACGGGTTTTATTTTTTGGAAATTGCCAAATTTGTACCAAATGGTGGAGGGTATTAAAAGTTCGGCCCGGCCGAACTTACAGCTTTTTTACTAGTTGTTTTTAATTATTTCATATTGCGCTTACGAAATTGTTTTCTGAAATTGTAAAAAGTTGGATGGTAATACTTTGTCCCCAGAATTATCTCATTAACGGTTAACTTTTACCATTCCATGACATGCTCTCAGAAAGAACTACAGCGTTGTAGTAAATACTCAAAATTAACAGTTTTCTGAAGATAGCATTTTCTGCTCCATTTATAGTTAGTCTTGAAACTAATAGCTATTAAAATTCCATTTAACTCACATAACATATAATAAATTCAATGTATTCTTCCTTCTTATTTCAGGCTGGACCAGCTGGATTCTTAAAGAGCTTTTTCTAAACATATACATAGTTATTAAAAATTACTCGATACAAAAGGAAAAAAATACAAAAAAAAAAAAGAAATACTCTTCTACAACACTAATCTACAACAAAACACTACAGTTTACAGTTTCTATACTCTTATATTTGTACATTTATTAAATGTTCTTTGCTTTCTTCGAAACAAACAAACAAAAAAAATTAACTACAACAAGTCAACAGAAAAAAGATGGAAAACAAAGCTAACAACCACAACAACAACAAGAAAAATATCATTTAAATCAATTAAGAAAATCTGCAGTATTTTTGCCATACATACTCTCTTCTCTCAATATATAAATACAACTCTCTCCAATGAAAAAAGTCTCTCTCTCTAAAAATCTCTCCACAAAACAAAAAAAATAATAAAAAGAACAACTCTTCAAAACTTATAAATTCGAATATTTTTTCTACTCGATATTTATAAAAGGAAATATTTATTATTAAGATTAAAAAAAAATTAAAAAAATGCTAATTGCTTTAATTTTTTTTCAACAAATTTATTTTAATTCATTGTTATTTATTTTTGTTAATTTTGAAAGTATTCAAACCCACTGAATTGGACTAAAAAATACAAAAAAAAAATTAAATTATCTTAGAAAATATAACAACAAAAATTGGTTATATAAAGAATAAACTAAACAAATTTATATATACATATTAAACATAATGTGATGTCATCATTAATAAATAAATAAAAACAAATTAAATCATAGTTTATTATAATTGTCAAATACCAAAACAAAAATTATAATAATTATATAAATAAAGGAAACATTAGTAAAACAAATATTAAAAGAAAATACTTATGAAAATTATACAGCATTATTCCCTCAAGAAAATAAACAAAAACAACAACACATATTCACTTTAAAAAAGACAACCAACAACAACAAGAAGAAGAAAGAGAAGATGTTAGTAGTTAATAATAAATAAAAATTTCAAAAAAAAAAAAAACTATTAAACCAAAAAAATATATATTAACAATAATTAACATATAGTAACCTCCCCCCGGTCCCCACAAATTTGTTATAGTTAGTAAATTTATTTAAGTGAGGTAAAGTTGAATATTAAATATAAAATAACTACAAGAAATAAGGAAAAATTAAAAACTAAATAATCTTATACAAAACAAGGATGTATATATTAGTAATAGTAAAAAAAACTAATAACAAAAATCAACATTAAAAAATAAACAATTTGGTGGAAATTTAATGAGCCAGTGATGCAGTTTAGCCGAAATCGCAAAAGAAGTCGAAAAGAACCCGTTACGGAAACTATAAAGTAAAGCGTAGTCATATTATACAAATTTAACCAGCAATATTAAGAAAACCACTACAACAACAGAAATGTTATAGAATATTATCTCACTCTCCCTTCACAACTAGATTTTGTTTTGTATTCCTCTTTGACAGGTGTTTGATAGTCGACAACGCACAATAAAGGCGTTCGTTGTTCGTTTGACACTTCTCTGATATTTCGTCAATGAAATACTCTTTCCAACAAAACACGAAAACTGCCATTAACAAAATGTTCTCTGTCTCACACACTCACACACCCATCCTCTCTTATTGTAAATGTCTGCCATTACATTGTCGGATGCTCATAAAGTTTAGAAAAATGTTTAAAGCAAAGAACACACAACAACCGACAATGTTATTTAAACAATTAAATACTGCTATAGTTTTTGTAGAAATCCAATGGAGTGTTTCATTATCATGATTCCTTTTAAAGAGAACTGCGTCAAACCGTCAAATCCAAACTTAAAGATTTCGCTATATGTTTATTATGCCCTCCACCGGGAATTCGTAATTGAAATCAATCCATGTTTTTCAATACGTTTAAATCACCTTTCCAGTTCTTCGAAATAGATAGGTTACATTCAGTCAATGAAAAGACACTGCCCAGCAACATAAAGTGCGTTTACATACAAAATCCCAACCCTGGTTAATCCTGATAATTAACCGATTACAATAAATTTTATGTATATTTTCTACAGTCAATTTTTTTGTAATTGATCAATTATCTGGGTAGAGATTTAATATGTAAACGTACTGTTATTTCTTTCGGAGAAGTTATGTAAGGTAGTAATACTCTCTTTTGCAAGAAAAGGAACTCTAAGCAGATACCACCGTATAAAAATCTGCAAACAATCAGCTGATTTATCCAAACAAAACACATTTTCACCGCCGTAAGAAAAAAATCCAAAAAAAATATTTTATCAGAAATATAAAAGAAAATTAAACAAAATGGGAAGAATTTTCAAAATGATTTTATTTCTAAATAACTTCACAAAAATTAATAACTGTATGAACGGGTTAATCTGTATGCGTGTATATGAAGTGGTTTAAATTCCAATGAGAAACAGGTGTTAGTTTTGTGAAAAAAGTAGATGCTTCAACGCTTGAGAACATTGATATGTCTAATCTTCAAAAATAGGAAGATTTGTATATTTTTTCCTACACGATGCCAATCGGAAATTGTTATTATATGAATTTTTTAACACTTTTTACAAATTTATATAATTTTTTATTTGAAAATGTCAATTTCAAAATGGCTTTGACAGTTCATTGTCCCAGCAGCTGTATTGGTGCGAATACCTGTTTTATTCTAACATTAGAACCTTGCATATATTGACAGCGGCACACATCAACATATCCGAAACATAAATTGAACAATATCGAAAATAAATCTTAAGTCAAAAACCGAACGTGTATTAGTTTAGCACAGTGGGCCGGCTCCCACTTAAAGTTTTTGATTTGTTAGGGAGACTCTGTAGTAAATCTTGTTTCGTCCAATCTTAACACTATCGCGGATCATTCAGGTTTTGTTGAGGTTTTTACTGGGGCCTACCCGTATCTGCGTATCTGTATCATTTTATAATAGTATATTCCAAAGCATTATCAGCGGTATTGAACATTTACTGGTAGAACATACATGTTCTCCAATTTCTTAGATATCTAATAACTCCACAGCCCAAAGAGTACTGATCTCCTTTTCACGAAATATTAGCAATTCCCAACTATACTGTTCATATTTCCGTGATTAGCTGAGGGATTAAGTATCCTTTTCTATAGAAAGCTAAAAAGGTTCTAGGTTTCTGATAAGTTCCAGGGCTTGGTTTATTCTAGACACCCTTTCTTCATTAAATGGCTCTCCCGAGTTTGTCTATTTCTCGAATACTGTCGTCGTTTGGTGCGTTCATCTTAACGGTATTCTCTTAAATCTTACAATATCCGCATTGATTATTTCAAACTTCCTTTCTATTTTATCTAATTTTTAAATAGCATTCACTTCTTTTAAACTCCCGGTGTCCAGTTTTCTATGGAGCTGTCCATCAACTTTTTTTAAGTTTGCTTCTTTTTCGGCAATTGGGAATTCTATATGAACCTCTTTAATCATCAATATAATATATTTGTTGATATTCAACTCTAATTTTGCAACCAATTAATCAGACTCGATTTCGGATGTTATGAATGCATTCTGCGATATGAGCAAATTTTCCTTTAATTGCAATATATCTTCTCTAGCTTCTAGTTTTGCAGCCAACTCATCACGTTCGGTTTTAGCTGCAAGGAGTGCTCATCAGTAAGTTTTCTTATTACTGCCTTCAAAGCCTTGCTCTTACGTTCTGTCACCTAGTAATTAGTCCTTAGTATCCTCGGCTACACACAGAGCATTATTGTTTTTTTTAACCTTTAAACTCGCAACAAATTTGAAGGCATCTTCCATTTCATTTGTCATCTTCTCTGCTGTTTTGTGCTCCATTCGCTCGTTATCCAATTCAGGGTTGTTTCTTTAATCCAAGGACGTGCTTTTTGGTCTCATTTTGACATTTTGAGGCTGCATGACTTCTAAAATGACCTTAACATCTTCCGAGTACAGCGTCCCTGTTGCATTACATTTTTGGAATGATTTCTTATGGTGTTTTGGAAAGCTTCTTTTACTCCAATCCAGAATTGTTTTTTTCAATCCACGGACTTCCTTTTTGAGCCTGCATGATTTTAAAAATGACCTTAACATCTTCCGAGCACAGCCTCGCTCTTGCTTTCCATTTTTGAAAAGAATTCTTTTGGTGTTTTGGAAAGCAAAAAAAAATGCATATGATTAGGTTTCACAAAACGAGTTATTTTGAAAATTCTGCCTGTTCTTTATACAAAAAGAAAGGCTATTTGAACATGATATATCTTCAGCATCTTATCTCTCCTGACTCTAGCTGCAAATACAACATATAACTGAGCAATCCCGACAGACAATTTTTATTTCAAAAACTAATGAATCACCTACGTTTGTATTTTGATACTTTCTGACTAGAGAAACTATTGAAAAAGTACATTTGTATATAGGTGTGAATGTCTGTCCCAAAATGCAAAGAATATTTAATTATATCTTCGTATTTCATATTGGGTTAGGAGGATCTCTTAAAAAATGTATAAACACCTTCTAATCACCATTGGGCAGTGATGATCAACAACTAGTTTGTTAACAACAACTTTAAAAGCTTTATCTTATTCTAGCCCTCTTGGACTTTATCTCTTCCATTCTTCTTTTTAAAAGATATTTTCCATCTTTTACATTTTTTCCTAAAAATCACGCGGTGGAGGGTATATTGAATTCAGACCTGTCCAAACATATACATATATTCCTGGAAAAAAATTGTTGCAATTAAAATTAGAAAATATCTGCTGAAGCTTTTTTTGAGTAAGCAACCATGTTTTTGTTATAATAAATAAATTTAGTTTAATAAGTTAAATAGAATAAATTTTGTTTTTGCATATAAAAACAAACATAAGCTATCTCTTGTATCTATAACTAAAATTGTATGTAGCTATAATATATTTAATGCAAAACCCTATATACAATTAATTAAACAATAAATAAATATATATTTATTAAATCCCAAGTATACAACAAATTCATTACATAGCTAATATTACTACTACACCACCACACATAATCAGCAGAAGAAAAGATAAATAAACAAATTAATTAACAAAAACTACAACAAAAATTCTGGAAAATTAAACATTATTTCAGCACCAAGAAAAAACACAATAACAATAAACAAATTGTACATTAAATCATTACCAGACACGCCCACACATACACTAACATCATTCACAAAAATTGTTAAATAAAAAAAAACCTAACAACAATAAACAAATCCCACAAAACAACTATTTTTTGCAAATATTTTTTCTTGATTTTGTTTTTTTTTTTTTTCATTTTCTTTTTATGAAAATAAAAATAAACTCAAAAATAAATAAAATGAAATTAAAAGAAATTTATTTGTAAATGTTAAGACATCACTGCCATGTTAAAGGAAATAAATTAAAACAGAAGACAAAACAACCACAAGAAAACAAACAAAACAACAACAAATGATATCAGCAAAAAACAACAAATTACAACATAACAAAAACAAATATAAGAACTTAATGTATTCATTTTTACTGTCTCAGTTTCACTTTATTATTATAATTATACTATTATTAATAATATTAAATATAAATAATGATATAAATATTAAATACTAATAATAATGATATAAACCTAAATAAAAGACAAATTTAAATAAAGATACAAAAAGCAATTCGAAATAAAACACAAAATCGTCCGTTTGATTTATTTTTATTATTCTACTTCATCTTGTTTTCTTCTTCATCTATGTTTTTGTTCTCCTATACATAATTTGAAATTTCTACACCATTTCCAGGAATCTTTTTAGATAGAGGAAAATTTAATTTAAATATGATAATGATTTATCTGCTGTGGTTGGCTGTAACCACATGGTGTAGCTTATGATCAGAAGCTGGAAAAATCTACTAGTTATGTAATTTTTTCGATATCATAAATGGAAAATCGGGTATCGCATTAAAAACTTTTATGTTCTTTCAGTTCTGGAACAGAGCAAATGTTTTGAAATGTTTTTCAAAAATAAGTAGATTTTTTATAGGTTTTCTTATACGACCCCAATCGGAGATTGCTATGGTATTAATTTCTAAACAATTTTTTACAAATTTGAATAATTTTTCATTCAAAATTTTCAATTTCAAAATTGGTTTGACAGTTCATTGACTGTGTCGATGCGACTACCTTTTTTCTTCTACCATGGAAATAAATGCCGCTCAGCTGATGTTTATTTACCTATACATACCCAATCAAAAGAGAATGCAAAAAAAACAGCTCCAAGCGAAACTCGTATAGCTAAGGAAAAATGTTTATTTATAACTTCCAAAAAATAAAATTCAACAAAAATATCTTTTTTACATTTTATTAGTACACTATGTAAGTAATTAAAAAAGCAAAACAAACTTAACATTTTAATTCGTTTAAAGTAAAAAAAATACATAAATATTAAAAGAGATCATATTTCAATGCCAAAGCCAAACTCGCACACTTCGTATAATTTAAAGTATTTCTAGACATTAATATTTTGCATTTTTTTTAGCATTTCTAACCTATTTGGCATACATTTAACAAGTTTTTAGCAAAAGCTTGGTTCAATTTTTCCATTCTTCCAACAAAGCTTTCTTCAAATCTTCGTTGGATATGGTATGCTGGCTGATTTTTTCATCGAGATAGCTCAAGAAATTCTCTATGGGGTTTATGTCTGGTCTCCATGGACACACTGGGGACAATTATATAGCAGCCATGACCACACTTTATACGCCTTGTGTTTCGTATAAAGCCAGAGGCTGAAAATGAACCCCACACCATTACTGACCCACCACCGTGCTTCACTGTAGGCTTCATATTTTTGGCAAGGAACGCTTCATTTGCCTTTCACATAAGGTCTACCATCTGAACCAAAAAGCTTGAACTTGCTCTCGTCCGTGAACAGCACATTCTTCCAAAATGAAAAATCTTTTGATATGTGCTCCTTGATATGTACTTCTTGGGTTCGCTTGCTGTTAGAGGCTTATGTCTAGCTCTTCTTCCATTGTAATTCGTCATATGCAGTATATACTATATACTAACATACTTTTCCAAAATTCATTTCAGCAATTTTTGTGAGCTTCGGTGCACTCAAAAATGGATCCTTTTTGATCTGCCTTAAAATATACTACTCATCACTGAAGGCCGTTTTTGACTTATTTTCTACGCATACGGCTTCTATTAGCAATTTCAGATATCTCACATTTCTCATTTCAACAGTGGGTTGTCCTCGTTGTCTTCCCATTTCTTATCTTTTTTTAATATTGACATCAGTAAATTACACAACACGTGGAAATTTGTGATAAATTAGCCTTTAGGGAGTTCCCCAAATACATTGCTATATTCCCCAAATCAACAATCGCGTGGAGGGTTACCGTATAAATGTAAGCTGTACGAGTTTAGCTTTTGCATAGAAATTCGGTGAGATTTAGAATAAATGCCATTATTTTGTTAAATAAATAAAAACAGTATATTTTTGTTCTACGGCTAGTTCCATGGTAGAATAATACAGGTAACAGCAAGTGTTGTTGTACAACAATCGTAACAACAACCGTGTCAGAGTTATGTGTCTAAAAATGTAAACAAAATAATTAATTTTCAATAAATTATTTTAATTTCAAAAATGTTTATTTTTTATTTTATATCAAAAAAGGAGATGCCCATTGTATATCAAGAAATGGAATTAAATCACAAAATGTCATATCGAGTTTGACACTAGTATTACTATAGAGTCAAATCAGCTGGGACTGGCTGTTAGCTGTAATAATTATACCATGGGTTAGTTCTAGTACCCTATACACTAATAAAAATATAGTTTTTTCTGGTAGTCAATTTGATAACAATCATATATTGGATGAAAGAAAATTGTTTGTTAAGTGTACGAGTTTCGCTTGGAGCTACTGTATCTAAATATGCTTTTTCAAAATATACATTTAGCATTTTGTAGCACGTAGAGCGTTTAAGCTCCTGACGATTGTCAAGCTTGAAATGAACGCTTTCCATCCATATACTACTCAATAATATATTAAATATGTAAATATTATTCAAGTTCGTTCTTCATTCGACCTTATACAATCTAATTTAAATAAACAAACTTTTCTTTCAGCTTGAGGTCTGGGTTTCGTATTAATTTCCGAATTTTTGCAATGAATTACATTGCATCTTCAGAGAAATATACAAAAATACATGTTTTTTATAATTGATGTTATCGCAGCGTTTTTATATTATATAAGAACGATAAAGGCAAACAGAAAATAAATATTTTGCTTACATGTAAAACATCTATAAAAGTGTCAAGTTATACTTAAACCTAGGTGGGATTTCACTATCATCGTCTGGTGTAAATATTGCACTGAGTTCTTTTATATATCCTTTCTTAATTACACTTGATAGAAGAACACAGTTGCACCTGCATTTGACTTGATTGATGTGTCGAATAGTCTGTTTTTCTGAAATGAGATCTAGTAAAGGGAGTAATTTGAACAGTTGGGTTACTGAGGTTTTTTGGAACTAAAAAAATTAACTTAGTAAGAATTATTTGCTGAGAATTTTTTACTGGTTGATGGTCATCGAGAACATAAACACTACTATTTATTGCTTTCATAACAAATGATTTTTAACACATGTATTAATATAATATAATCCATTGTTACAGAATACATAATATAAATAATATATATCAATTCCCTTAGAATACATTAAATAATGGGTTTTATGTGTTAAATATATTTGGATTTTCTTATTATTAATTTCAGAGTTTAAACATAGTCAAAAATTCACTATCACAACTATTTAACATAAAAAGTCTTATTTTTCGTTCCCATTGGTGAGATGTATTGATTTTTGGAGGTCCTTTTAAAACTGCTTCTAAGCATATACTTCTTCAAAAACATTATATTTACAAAGATCCAAATTTACAAAAAAAAAAAATTACATTTTGGTAGTACACTATGTAAGTAATTTAAAAAAGCAAAAAAAAACTTAACATTTTAAAAGTAAAAAAGTAAATAAATATTAAAAGAAGTCATATTTCGATGTCAAAGCCAAACTCGCACACTCCGTATAATTTAAAGTATTTCTAGACATTAATATTTTGCAAGTATTTCATTCCTTTTTTAGCATTTGTAGCCTATTTGGCATACATTTAACAAGTTTTTCGCAAAAGCTTCGCAAGTTTTTCGCAAAGCTTTCTTCAAATCTTCTTTGCAAGATATGGTATGCTGGCAGATTTTCTTTCGAGATATCTCCATAAATTCTCAACGGGGTTTATGTCTGGACTCTGGGTTGGTGTATCGACGACGTGGGGACAATTATATAGCAGCCATGACCGCACTTTATAAGACTTGTGTTGATAAACATAAAAATCTTCGCCAAAGCCGGGCTTTTCCTTACCGTGTGGCAAACTTTCTTTCAAAATGTTAAGCTACATAGTCTGATCCATAATACCCCCAATAAAAAGGAATATACCAGGTCCAGAGGCTGAAAATAAACCTCATACCATTACTGAGCCACCACCGTGCTTCACTGTAGGCTTTATATTTTTGGCAAGGAGTGCTCATTTGCTTATCTCCATACATAAGGTCTGCCATCTGAACCAAAAAGGTTCAGAACGTGAACAGCACATTCTTCCTAAATGAAAAATCTTTTGATATGTGCTCCTTGGCAAATCGCAATTTTACTTCTTGGTTTCGCTTGCTGTTAGAGGTTTATGTCTAGTTCTTCTTCCATTGTAATTCGACTTATGCAGTATATTTCTTATTGTTTGAGGGCAACATACTTTTCCCAAATCCTATTCAGCAATTTTTGCGAGCTTCGGTGTACTCAAAAATGGATCCGTTTTGATCTGCCGTAAAATATACTTCTCATCACTCAGGGTAAATGTATAATTATTTGCCTTTTTTGACTTATTTTCTACACATCCATCTGTTTTGAACCGTTTTATGATAATGATGAACTGTAGATCAGCTTCTATCAAAAATCTCAGATGTCTCACTTAGCGATTTATGGTTTTTGTAATGTTTAATTACTAAATTTCTCACTTCAACAGTGGTTTATCCTCGTTGTCCTCCCATTTTTCTTATTTTTTTAATATTAACGTCAGTAAGTTACACAACACGTGGAAATTTGTGATAAGTTAGCTTTAAGGGACTTCCTCAAATACATTTTCCCACTATCGCGTGGTGGAAACCCTCCACCATTCTATGGAGGGTATATAAGCTTTGTCATTCCGTCTGTAACTCCTCGAAATATTCATGATAGACCCGACAAAGTACATGTATTCTTGATCAGCGTAAAATTCCAAGATGATTTAGATATGCCCTTCTGTCTATCTCTCTGTTGTAATCACGCTATCTTTCAAACGAATTGAGATAAAATTTTGCCCAAATGTGTATTTGCCAGTAGGTAGGCTAAATTCGTAAATGGGCCATGTAGGTCCACGTTTTCGTATAGCTCCCATATAATGTTACCTTCAGGTACTTGGTATTTTGATGATTTCAGCGATATTATTCTCCGGAATTGTTTGAAATTTCGTATTTGAAGTTCGTAATGGGTACTTCAGCCTATGACAAACATTTTTGTATGCAGTTCCACGTCTTCGTATATAACGGCACCTCCCAAAATTCGGTATTTTGATAATTTCAGCGCCGGAATCGTTTAAAAT